GCACGATTCCAGCAATAATAAGATGTAAGATGTAACACTAGCAGATGACGTGGTTGGCACGTTCTTTGAAGTAATTTGGAGCAGCTACCAGGCTCTATGTGGCTTCAAATACTTGGTCACTTGGTGTAATCAGGTCGGAATACTTGGTGTAATCAGGTCGGAATTAAAACCATAGTAAAACCCTCGGAGCTTTCAACAGAGTTTGTACTCTAACTTGCAAGTTACCAGATCTCTGCCAGGGTTTAAAGGTAAAGTATGATGTTTGCACTCAACACATTCGCTTTTGCCAACAACATTACAACACTGTCTTCTTCAATCGTAATATTGATCGGACCTACTACCTAGTAACCTAGCGACCTACAGAAATATGTATGTCAATACTATAACTATTCCAAATAACCTAATTATGTATAAACTTGGCGTTTATTCAACGGTAATTTCGGCATCTTCCTCAGAAAAGTAGAACAGATTAGCTAGAAACAGCTGATATTATTTTAACACTGTGTTTGCGACTTGGTCTTCTGATACACATGCCATGTGAACAATATGGGCGTGGCATGTGATCTTCCCCGGTGGAATTGGAACTTGAAAGTTTGTGTGGTTATTATTTAGCCTTTGAATGAACGTCAGATAAGCTTTGTTCAAAAATTATTTGGATATGTTTTGGTTTTATGAACCTACCTACGGTACACATGCTATCCTCAATGGAACTGTTAGTGGTAATTATACACCTATTATAGACAGCATGAGAGTAGGCCCTGCCATCTCGAAGTGATAATAATAATCAAAATGTTTCGCAGATTGGCAATTGATCGGTGTAGTTGGTGTTGTACACACTGCACTGATAATGATATCACGTTGAACGTGTAATGTAAATATAGTGTGGATATATGCGAATATATATTCTAAATAACTGTTAGTGGTACTTGTGTTAGAAGTAGGGTGATACTATTAAGGGGGAGGGGGGGGGGGGGGCCAAGTGGATATTTGTAGATATTTGGATAATGTCATCCACTTTTTTCGTAAATTATCCATTACAATAATCTACAAATATCTACATTTATCTACAAAAAATGTATATCTCAAATATGTGCCCAGAAATTCTACTGAATTTTTGGAGATAAATGTATAAATTTGTAGAATTTGTAGAATTTTCGTGAATTATCCATTGACAATAATCTACAAATATCTACATTTATCTACAAAAAATGTAATCTCAAATATGTGCCCAGAAATTCTACTGAATTTTTGGAGATAAATGTATAAATTTGTAGAATGTCATCCACTTTTTTCGTGGATTATCCATTCTACATTAATCTACAAATATCTACAAATATTCACTTGCCCCCCCCCCCCCTATTAATGGTTATTATTAGTTTAAACAAATAAATGTTGTAGTTCCCTTTCAAGAGTATGTTGTAGTTGCCTTTCAATCTGATAGGGATACGTTGGAGTAAGAGCCACATTAATTAAACCAAGCTGGTGACTTCCTCTATAAAAAGTAAAACATTCATAATTTGCTATTTTAGAAATCTTCATATTTTAAGCTACTAAAAGGAAGTTTTGATTGTAACTAAACCGCATTAGCTTTGATCCCAACATATATCAAATATCTTATCATTGGTCAGAAGAAAGCTGTTACACCCCCAGCAGCTGCAGTACCTCTAGCTGCAGTACCTCTAGCTGCAGTACCTCTAGCTGCAGTACCTCTAGCTGCAGTACCTCTAGCTGCAGTACCTCTAGCTGCAGTACCTCTAGCTGCAGTACCTCTAGCTGCAGTACCTCTAGCTGCAGTACCTCTAGCTGCAGTACCTCTAGCTGCAGTACCTCTAGCTGCAGTACCTCTAGCTGCAGTACCTCTAGCTGCAGTACCTCTAGCTGCAGTACCTCTAGCTGCAGTACCTCTAGCTGCAGTACCTCTAGCTGCAGTACCTCTAGCTGCAGTACCTCTAGCTGCAGTACCTCTAGCTGCAGTACCTCTAGCTGCAGTACCTCTAGCTGCAGTACCTCTAGCTGCAGTACCTCTAGCTGCAGTACCTCTAGCTGCAGTACCTCTAGCTGCAGTACCTCTAGCTGCAGTACCTCTAGCTGCAGTACCTCTAGCTGCAGTACCTCTAGCTGCAGTACCTCTAGCTGCAGTACCTCTAGCTGCAGTACCTCTAGCTGCAGTACCTCTAGCTGCAGTACCTCTAGCTGCAGTACCTCTAGCTGCAGTACCTCTAGCTGCAGGCTCTGTTAGTAATGGAGATTGTATGTAATATCGTAGTAGTGCCCGTCTTTTCGAAACCGTGATATTATAGTACTTTTCCTCGGAAATTGTATTTTCAGTTCTAGTGCTGATCGTATATAAACAGCAAAACCTGCCATTTCACACGTCTTTACTTTGAATTTGTCCCCTGAAAAGGCATGATTGCTCGGATTGGAAGCATCAAATTTAATAAAAATAAGTTTCAACCGGCGCAACTTGTCAAAAATATATTTAGCTGACAACTTGGATTCATCATCCCCCACAGCAATCCCGGAAATAGATTTCAACAAATCTCACTTCGGTCCTGCCCCACCCTCTGCCCCCTCCGCCCCCTCCACCCTGGGATGAGCTGTAGTAAAATGTAGAACAAGTCCGCGAATCTTCTCTTTTTTCTAACATCACGTGATCAGCTGTGCAGCTTTCTTTATATTATGTGTGCGACCTCGGGTTGATTATGCCTTGTAAAGCAAAGATCCGGGATACCAGCCCTGTGATTGGCTGGTTGGTGTCACGTGGTGTCACAATGCTCTGCATTGATTGGGGGATGCGAACTGGGACACCTTACCTGCTCTAGAAACTTACAAACACTGCAGTTTTAATACGCTTATACCCCCGTCGTACTGTGTAGCTATTTTACTCAGTCACAGTTTTAATGTGCTTTTCTATTCAAGTCTATTTTCAGCAAACACAAATTTCCTTATCTCAGTTTTTGGAGGAGACTGATAATTTTTCTAACCACAATTTTAAATTTGTACGGTCTTTCTGTTGGACTTATGTTATCTGCAGGGTAGACAGGGCGGACAGCATCATTCGAAATATGTAATCTTATGATCATGCAATCTCTCTAGGGTGCACACTAATTATTTTGACATGATGTGATGACATGACGTTTCAGTACGGGACTGTGGTTATTTTGAGATCCAATCTTTCTCGCCCCGCCCTCATACCTTGATGATATCATCATTATTATAATTTCATTCCCCAAGTTTCAAACAGCACGAATTAAGAAGGGATGAGGGGACAATAGTCCAGATGCATGTCGCTCCAACATAATTCCAATTTAGAAAATCTGAACATCTGTTTCAACCACGCACTGAATCTAATTTAGAATAGAATTGCCAATTTTTGTCGTTTATCCGTGAGATGTTGGAGTTTAGCCACTGAGGGAGTGGCTAAAGTGGGGAACGATAGAACCAGAAAATAATTGCTTAACCTGATCCGAACTAAACTCAATTTTTGGTTATCCAAAATGCATGTTTTGTATCCTATAAAATATGTAAAATCCAGAATTTTGCAAGAAAATTTAGATAGTGAAAATGGCAATTTCATCAACGGTAAAAATGGCATATATTATATATTATGCTATTTTTGCCGTTGATACCATGCAATTGCCATATTTAGTACATGTACAATATATTTGTTTCACTCTTGCCATTTATTGCCGTCAAAGTATTCGGTAAAAAACGTCATAATTTTCGTGACGGCACAACGACAGCTGGTCCGTCATAATTTAAACAATTAAATCTATTAAAAAACACAACAAAAAACAAAATAGTAGACACGTCACCATCTCCGTTATATATACAGTGTTCCTTACTTACATTATAACTAATAGACAATTCCTGAACCAAGAAACTTGATGGGGGATATGTCAACCGGTAATATTAAAGTATTAATAACTCTCCCCCATTTCTTCTAGTTCAATTACTGTGGTTGCTTTAAATAAGTGACAGGAAATTTTGACATTTTGATGAAGTTCTGAGTTGACAATTTTGATCTCAATTTATTTCCTCGAGGTTGTTGGCACTTGCGTGTGTCCTCTCGTCGTTTGTGCATACTGTTTCATCAGAGAACTATGTATATTGTATAGTTGTATATTATATATAATTTTTTAATTAAATAAGCACTTCCAGGGTTCTAGTTCCATAAAACTTTGAGGTAATCCTTGACAACCAATTCGTTATTCTTAGCCTAGATCGACCTATCAAACGTATTAAACATCAAGCCCCGATAATATTCTAACATCTTTCCTACGAATGAACACATTCTAAAAAACCGTTCTCACGTCCTGTACACAGTGTTTAAACAATAATGTTAAACTTGATAACAACAGTATAGAATATAGATGTATAGCAGTATAGATGAGGGTTAATTACAGGGGTATTAAACGTATTGTCTCACGGTCCATATTTTACAACTACAACTTCTTCTTGGCACAGGCAGAAACTGTCTGTAGCAAGGCTTGAGTCATGTTGTAACAACAAAAATAGTTACCTGTCACCTGAGAATCGATATAATAGGATTACGAAAACTGTGTCAGTTTTTTTTCGCTCTTTCGTAATGGTGCCAAACGTTGGTAGCCCAAGTTCAGGAATAAAGCGACTGTTTTGTCTATATCATCATGAACCAACACCAAGACGTCTGGCGTAATACGCTTTAAATTTGATAATCGCATAACATCGTCATAATCGTTAGATAATTTACTTATGTTAAGCCAGGATCATTAGTGTAATGATAAATGACTTATAATTTTTATTTTGTTTTATCAATTATTAACACGAGTCATGTCTCCAAGGAATTCGATAATCAAAATTCATGGCATAAAATGGCACAAATGGAGAATTACTCAAGGGTTTTTCAATTTTCTCCATAGAAAAAGTCTCCATTTTATGCCGTTTTATGCCATTTTATACCATTGCCCCCCCCCCCCCCCCCCCCCCCCCCCCCCATTATTAACACTCATGTCTCCAAGGTCTACATGGAAGAAGAAGTACCCTTTCATCGCTCGATCGGAGAATAATCTACTCGACCTTTCCTCTCACAAACTCCGAAATGCTTTCCGGTAAATAATCATTAATGTTATATATTTTAATGTAATATTTAATGAACGTTAATGTAATACTGTAGCACTATCTCTCTCTTACTTTCACAGGGATTCTGCATTTATTGAGTGCCAGAATTCACACCTTTGTAGAATGAATATATAATATTTCATCAACGGTCTTCATCTTTACCTCGGCATATTCACTTCCCTCATGTGGATATATTATTAGGACCGGCCTTAATTCACACAGTAGACCCTCTCTCTACCCCCTCTCACGGGTTTCCTTGATCTAGTCCTGTGAAGTCCTCAGTCCTCACCCAGTTGGTTTAGTTCACGGGTCCAGGATAAGAAGTCCACGTTGCTTTAATCTACTGTCTAGTGAAGTCCACACTCAGTTTAGGAGATGGGGGTCTGCTTGTCTGAGCAAGGGCTTCTGTGATGATATTCTGGGCTTGAGTAATGGAATGTTCTGGGCTAGAGTGGGGGATTGTTCTGGGCTAGGGTGGGGGATTGTTCTGGGCTAGGGTGGGGAATTGTTTATTATTTGTTCATTATTACTGTACGTCGTCTAACTGCCCTTCTTCTTCTGCTTGTGTTTCAGGGTGGGAAGATCTTGACCCGTATCCACCAGAATTGTCCAATTCCCGCCAATGAACTGCACAGCGTCGGGAATTTTGATTAAAATTAATTGATTTGTGCTTAAATTGTGTTACTATGCCAGTTAAACTGCCGTTTGCAATTTTTGAATTACCATGCCAGTTGAAATGATAATTCATAAATTATATCAACAAGTTCTACAGTAAGTCGGCACGAAATCGTATTATTTTGTAATTATTCGTATGTTTTTATACAATATGTGCTTAAAAATATAACGTTTAACTCGAAATTCTAACAAAATCTTTCAACGTTCACTACAAAATGAATGGAACGGACGTTCAATACGTCAGAATTAAACGTTCACTACAGTGTACAACTCTCAAGTATCTAAGTATCTAAGTATCTGAGTGTATCTAAGTATCTAAGTATCTAGAAGTATCTAAATATCTAAGTATCTAAGTATCTAAGTATCTAAGTATCTAGAAGTATCTAAGTATCTAGAAGTATCTAAGTATCTTTGTTTCAGGAGAACGATCAGGCTGAACAGTATCACGGGTAAAACATCAGGACGGGGAACAGGAAGTTTCAGTGTTCACAACATGAACGGTAACGAGAAGAAGGCACCTAACAGGCAGTTCCACAGTCTAGATGGGCTGGATACCATTGGGGACCTGATGAGTGAGAGTAAGACTGTCACCGCTGTCGTTTCCAAAGGTAAGACTGTTACCGCTGTCGTTTCCAAAGGTGGGTTTCACAGTTTTTAGATGTTTCACAATTGAGTTTGATACTCGCAAATATTAGAAAAATACGTATAATGATACCTGTTTGGATGGAGTTAATGCTAAAGTTTCCTCTGATGTCCATGATATCTCACCCTACACCCCCACTTAACTCCTTGTCTCCCCAGGTGTTCCAGATCACAACACCCCTTGCACCAGGGACAAAAGGATTTCGCGATTATTTTGGCCAAAAATCGCGGTACCGCGAAATTTAACAGGCTATACATTAAACTATACATAAAATTTGTCGCGGAGAATGGAAAATTTCGTGATTTCGTACATGCCGCGAAATCCTTTTGTCCCTGCCTTGCACCCCTCTCTCCTACTGCACCACCAACTCTCTCCACTTAACTCCTTGTCTCCCCAGGTGTTCCAGATCACAACACCCCTTGCACCCCTCTCTCCTACTGCACCACCAACTCTCTCCACTTAACTCCTTGTCTCCCCAGGTGTTCCAGATCACAACACCCCTTGCACCCCTCTCTCCTACTGCACCACCAACTCTCTCCACTTAACTCCTTGTCTCCCCAGGTGTTCCAGATCACAACACCCCTTGCACCCCTCTCTCCTACTGCACCACCAACTCTCTCCACTTAACTCCTTGTCTCCCCAGGTGTTCCAGATCACAACACCCCTTGCACCCCTCTCTCCTACTGCACCACCAACTCTCTCCACTTAACTCCTTGTCTCCCCAGGTGTTCCAGATCACAACACCCCTTGCACCCCTCTCTCCTACTGCACCACCAACTCTCTCCACTTAACTCCTTGTCTCCCCAGGTGTTCCAGATCACAACACCCCTTGCACCCCTCTCTCCTACTGCACCACCAACTCTCTCCACTTAACTCCTTGTCTCCCCAGGTGTTCCAGATCACAACACCCCTTGCACCCCTCTCTCCTACTGCACCACCAACTCTCTCCACTTAACTCCTTGTCTCCCCAGGTGTTCCAGATCACAACACCCCTTGCACCCCTCTCTCCTACTGCACCACCAACTCTCCACTTAACTCCTTGTCTCCCCAGGTGTTCCAGATCACAACACCCCTTGCACCCCTCTCTCCTACTGCACCACCAACTCTCTCCACTTAACTCCTTGTCTCCCCAGGTGTTCCAGATCACAACACCCCTTGCACCCCTCTCTCCTACTGCACCACCAACTCTCTCCACTTAACTCCTTGTCTCCCCAGGTGTTCCAGATCACAACACCCCTTGCACCCCTCTCTCCTACTGCACCACCAACTCTCTCCACTACCCTGAGAGTCTGACATCCTCCTCCGACTCTCTCTTCATCGGACACAAACAGGACTTCAGATCTATCTGCTGGTCCCAGCAGCGCAGGTAATATTAAAACACTTTCTCGGGAGTTTCTGATGTTGTTTAACCGTTAGTTAGTCTCTTAAGTGTACTACTATCTGCTTATTTCCACCACCTACGGTACTATTGGCTGTGTGAATATTGTCTCTCGGCATGTGAAGGTGTTTAATGTCAAACATATCGCAAAGATAAGGATATGTTTTCCTCAAAACAGTTTCCTCCAGAAATAACAAAACAGCTTGTCAGACATTGTTATTTCTGCTGCAGGATGCGTCGTGATGATTATGATCTAACTATCAACGCTATTAATTTGCAATGTTTGTGTTGTTAAAACCAACAATGTTTTGTTTGTTACAATCCTGTAGTTCTGCACAAACAAACAGATACTGTAAATTTAAGCAACTCCTCTCACTTAAGCTTAGTAACATCAGATACAATCTCGCTCTGATAATGTCGTAGAATAAACAGAGTATTTTAGGAAGGGGGATTGGTTCGCAAATAAATGTAACGAGTTAACTGCAATCCCAGACATGAGATGAGTTATAAAGCCTCTCCAAATTTTGGAGATGGTCTGGCTGAGAGTCCTGATCGATTACACAACGCGTCACAAACCAACCTGTGGAAAACTGTAATTTTAACTGAGTTGCATCATTTCCCAACATTTAACCACTTCCTTTTCGTCATGATGTTGCAATGGTTACCATGGTGTTGCAATGCAATGGTTACCATGGTGTTGCAATGGTTACCACATTTCTTGAGTTACTCGAGTTCTTCCCAGGACCAACTTTATGACGAAACTTACAATATTTCCCCTGTTTTAATGGCTCCTCGTTCAAGGTTCCAAAGTTCATGAAGCTACAAAAATGTCCATATATGGTCACAAACTCCTTGAGTTTTAAAGCAATATTTTTTAATGTCATCAATATCAAATAGCCACAATCGATTTCATAATGAATTGCAATATTTGATGACCTACCTAATTAACGATTTTCTGCCTAGTTTTGTGGGAAAATTCCTAATTTGGTGTGATACTATAGCTTCATTAAATGGGCTTAAGTGGACCTCCATTTTCGAGATCAGGTTCTCAACATTGGATTTTAATATTGGATTTTAATACCCGATAACCTAGATTGGATATGGAGGACTAGCTTGAATTAAGTTACAATCTCATCTATTCAACTTCTTTTCCACCATTTCAAGATATTTATTGAAAAGATTTAAATTGTAATCCAATTTGTATTTATGTAGATATCTAGAATCTAGATGACTCAGGTACACGAGAACACAATTCCCACCATAAATAGAACACAAATATAACCTATGTGCCTTTAACATTTCATTAAAATCTTGATTATGGTACCAGAGTTATTCAGTTCTCATACTAGTTCTCGTACTAGCAAGATCGTTTTATGTCAAAAAAGATTTTTCCATTTTAGACTCCTTTCATAACGACACAATTGATGACGTCAGCAAACTGTCTACCTCCGTCAGCAACCGTTTCCACAGCAACCGTTTCCAATACTCTACCTAAAATATAGTAACCGTTTCCAATACTCTACCTAAAATATAGTAACCGTTTCCAATACTCTACCTAAAATAATGTTTTAATGAAAGGTTACGTCATTACTGAACCTATAATTGCAATCTTCGACGCTGCTGCGATTAAAAATTGTAATAAATATTGCTGCATAATTTTGACCTTGGAGATATTAGTCAATAAATTCTTGATTAAGCTACTGAAGGCCGAATATATCTACTTGCTATAAGGTTGCATGCCTTAATAACCTAATACTTTTCTATTAGTAATCCAAGTCACAAGAAAACAGAATTGTTCGAAGTGAAATATAAAGCAACTTTTTTAAGATGCTAAAATTATATCTCATTTACCAACAGTTAACAAATACTTCATATTATAACACTTCCCCCTTAAGGGTTCCTTCCATTTCAGACCTCAAGATCTAAAATAATTGCTGAAAATTGAGATGATAGCATGTAACTAAGCTTATACAATATCTTGTAAATAAAAGTTGAAACTTATGTTGAAATTGTTAAAATTGAGATGATATCTTGTAACTATCCTACAAAAGGATAACTTGTTGGAAGTAACGGTGTAGTTTGGAAGCCATGGCAATGTACCAATCACACCTCCAGATCTCTACATTACATTGTATTATTATCAGTGTGCATTATAACACAGTCAACAGTACCTGTACACTGTATTGGTACATTGTACCACACAACTATAATAATATAAGTGGGTATATGAGGTTTTGTTAGGACAGTTTCCGGGGGTCGGAGCAGGATGTGTATTGTTCTCCGGCTGCACGTGCTGGGGTGGTATGTTGTGCGAGCGCACGTGCAACATACCTCCCCATCTTGCACGTGCAACATGTAGCAAGATCTTAGACGTAGTGCAGTCCCAAATGCTTCATGTAATAATTTAAAAAGGTTTTTCAAATCCTTCAAATGGGAATTACTCTGCACCCAGCTTGTCACGCAAAACATTTTATCAAGCAATTATTAATTCCGATAAGGAAGCGACATTGCCAATGGAATTACCAGTGATCAGCATAGAATCCGTTGAAGTAGAATGAAGAATTGAAGTCTTCTTAAAAGTCAATCTACTCTCAGAAATGTTTGACTAGTTGTATCCCGTATGTACGTTCATAAACTACATTTCTAAGAGCGATGTACTGCATATTTCATCCGAGATCTCTATACATTTTTAGGGAAACTTCTTCCAAAGAATCCCCAAACTAAAAATAGAGTAGTTGGCTTCTCTGGAGTCGGCTGAATCCGCATTTAGTTGTAATTTTAGGAATCTCAATACGATCCGTAATATCTGTAATCTGTTAAGCAATACTTAATAGCATTTCAAGCGTTAAAATTCAAACGCAATCCATAAAATCAGCTGCTTCGCAAGTTCGCAATGATTTTCAACAATTATCATCATGAATGACCTTATGATAATATCATCTGGATAATATGCAAATTTTATAAAGCAGTGGTTTTAAGTGCACTGAGCATATCGCACATAATAACCATTAAGCACGTTACGCGAGAAGGCGTGTCAATGTAGGATATCTATTTTCTATAAATAATTTATCCTCAATTTTTAAACCCATGATCTGAAAAATATTTTTAATGCATGATCAGAGAAGTCTTAAGAATACATTCAGCTTGAAATCTGAACTTGCAATCAACAGTTATGTCGTTGAGACGAGCTATGGCCAAGAGACTCAAGATTGATGATTAATCACGATACTATGGTATAATCGGCATGATTAGAGCTGCTAATTAGTTAATTAATTGGTCTTATAATTAGAGCGCTGGGAGGGAGATTGTTCTAGAATGCTCTATTTTCATTGTCAATTAACGTATCGTATTGAAGTTCTGACCATGAATGAGTCTAAGTAATCATTAGTTGTGGGACACAATAATACCACAGCTGTGCAGACAGAGAACCTTTTTAAATACTTGCTGGGAGAGGAGCAGCCTAAAATTGGTTCAGCTCCAGCCGTCCGCATTGTCTGAAAAACAGTCCTCTGTCGTCACCAATCCCACTTCTAGACCCCGTACTCGCCCTCCCAATTCTCCAGAATAAAGGTGTACACTATTATACACCACTGATACTGAATACAACACTGATACTATTACTGTTACTGTGGAGAAAGCTTTAAAAGGTTCTTCGGAACTGGACTCCGAAATTATTTGATCGAAAAGAGATCATTCACGGTGTTTTAAAGGACAAGTATAGAGTGTTTGAGAGAGGGCTTCTTAAACGTGTACTAATCAAAAATTCAAACAGTTTTGTAACTGGTATGGGTATGTAAACTGTAAAGTGGATACTAACACTCATAATAATACTAGTATAACACTCATAATATTATGTAAAGACTAAACAGTTGTCCTGCCAATCAATCCTACGAACTGAATACGATAATATATTGCGAGATATTTGATAATTCTATTATGATGTTCCAACAATTGCACAACAATTTATGTGGTGGTACGTGGTTATTCGAGTGAACAGACATATTATATAATATATAATATATGTATACTAGTTCGTGATATCAAATATCGTATCCAATATTTTGAATACATACCCAATTACTAGTCTGTTTAATCCTGGACCCCAAGAAATTAGAATTTCCCAGATAATGAGCACTCTCAAATCGAACATGGGTTCGGTAAATTCAATAATACTTTTTAGATAGCTATAAACCTGTTCATAACTAAATCCGGCGGCTTTTCAACAGTTCAATAAAAAACATAAAAACATCTTTATAAAAACAACAGGTTTTGTTTGACTGCCATCTTTTATAGATAAGAAGATATTAATATTGTGAAGTAAATAAGAGTTTCGAGTATTTAAATAGAGTCAGTTTAATAAATTATTGCATGTAATCAGTCACGTTGAGTGTAGTGAGTCAAGTCACGTGATGCCCAAATAAGGAGATGTAGAGTCACGTGATGCCCAAATAAGGAGATGTCACGTTGAGTGAGTCGAGACAAGGGTATTTGGAATATTCAATATGTGCAGTGTGGTGTCCACGAAGCTGTCGGTTCTCCATTAATGGCAGAATTGACTAACAGATTACAAGTTAATCTCGACAGAAGCGAAGATTGAGCTGGAGCATTGAACTTTTGCACGAACAACATGAACTTTAACAGATGATACAGACCATCAAAAAGTCAATCTTGCAGGCGAGCATTAGATCTAGATGTTTAAATATTGACTAACCGTTTATCTGGCAGGAAGAGCGGGGCATCCTACGTGACCGGCACTACAGACGAACTGCATCTGTCTGGTACAGCGGAGGAGCTGCGGTTTGAGGAGACGGAGCAGGTTCACATGATGAGGAACCGTACCGGGAGGAGACTCAGCGACATTGGGCTCTTCAAGGAGGTCACAGTCAAGGTATGGTTGCGAGAATGTTTCCAGTTTTATGGGTGTTAAATTAGTGTTAATCAGTGTTAAATTAACACTGTTGATAGGTGGTACGTGGTCCGAATTTGTAACTGTTTGTAGTGGTAAGTGTTAAGGTAAATGTTGATCGTTTACTATTCATGAAGTTGAGCTCTGAAAGTTCTTCAGAGCTTGTCTATTAATAGTATTTGTGGTTCTGTAGAAAAAACCGTCCAGATCAAACTTCAGTTGATAGTTCTACTGTGATTGTCCAGTAATGTCCTGATATTGAAACTCAGTTGGAACTGGGCGTCTACTTCCACAACAACAAGTTGGCGCACAATAGATCTTCAATTCTCTAGAAATCGACATTTACCACAAAGGAAATATGATCAAAGCTTCACGCACGTTTAAAGCTTTTAATGACCTATTGCGACATCAGTCGTCAGAAAGGTTTTTAAAAACATCAAGTTTTATTGTTTTTCCCCAAACCACCTCTGTCAAAAATCGATTTATCAATTTGGCAGTTGCTGATAACACTTATTATCCTCTGATATCCTATTGTGAACCAATCTAAACACACTCTGAAAGCCGATATAATTGAATCAACTTGCCACATTTGAAGGAATACGTGTCTCAGAGATAACTTTAAAAGATATTGCGAGTGTATCTGGGAAGATCTGGCGACGCGGACGGCTACATCGTCCATTCAAAGACACAACATCTCGCTCCTAGATATTGTTATATCATTATTAAAGTCACTATTGTGACGGTACATTAGAACTATATCATTAACTGTCAACCTGAGTATTTTATAATATGATGTCTGGGATAGTGCTTTGTTGAAGCTAACTTTTAAATTTAAACCTCTCTCGACGTTAAACCCCACGCTATGTTGTTTTAAATACAGGTGAGGTTCTGGGAATGAGTTAGCCGGTATCTGATATGGACATATGGTTGAGAATAGTGTTATGTTTTGGTTAGATTTAGTTTTAAACCAGGGTAAATAAGAGGTGAAGAGAGGAGGATATTATAAAGTTATGCACTATTTGTTGACAGCTATAAAACTTTATTATCCCTGCATAGTTGGCAGTATCTGACACGGAATTTTATAGCTTACAAAGCTTAGTAGGTTTAACAGAACTATTTAAAATACCGCTGTATTTTCAGTAAGTCCAATGAGAAACTATTCTGCTGAGGATTCTAATGAGTTTACCTTATCATGTTTCCTCTTGATCACGAGCTTGATAAGCGATACAAAGATTGAAATATTTCCTTGATGGTCACTATCTCCTCCTATCACCGACCTAACCTAGTAACCAGGAGCATGTAACCTAGTAACCAGGAGTATGTAACCTAGTAACCTAAGGAGTATGGGTTTCTCTTAAAAGAAGCTCTCTCTCCTCCCGTATTGGGCGTTTCATTTCCTTCAGCTGAACTAAAATAAGACACACACTTCCCACTGTATCGTATTACAACAAGCACTCTCTTAAAAACGCCATCAACTGATAAGAAAACTTGTTGCACGGCCTGATAAGAAAACTACGTCAACAGCACTTTAAGTGTAGGGTAAAGAAGTGAGCGTGAGGTCGTGAGAGTGGGGAATGTGACACCATGTCACATGTGACACCATGTGACCACATGTGGGAAAGTAACGTGAGAGTTACTGACAATATCAGGGACTAATTTAGAATGAGGGTGGGTTGGGAAACCTGTTCTAATGTGAAACACATGGGGATGACAGTGCCAGAGTATCGGGAATTAAAAACATGGTATCCTGAAGTGGAGTGTAAGTTGTACAACCTATCTTGCAGCACAAGGTTCAATCTAATGTATTTATTGTGTTGTTTTAGACTGAAGCTCCAAGTTTCTAGAGACTGTACCAAATTCTTATTCTGCCGTCTGTCAAGGTCAGATGTCACTGAACCATGTCCCATTATTATCTGATTACTGGCAGTACTGAATTGTCTGTCATCCTTTATCTCGTCTGTAATAATGTACAATAATATGTGAAAATGGTTGATATGGGTCATCCTTTAAATTTCGAGCTAAAAATATCAAAAATTTGAGATAGCCACACCGCAGTTTTAACGATTTAACTCATGAAAAATTTTGTATCGTACACTCGGCTGATATGATCCACATTCCTTTAAGATTCTGATTAAATTTGATGAAATATAGAAATATAATGAAATTAGAATCCGTACAAATAAAATGTATAATCCATTCAGTATCAACATAAGAATGCACAGTTCACATACAGAATATACAAATACAATATGTACACACTACATAATATATACGAGACAATATGTACGACATAATATGTACGACACAATATGTACGACGTACATTGTACATCACCACCTGGTCTCCATACAATGTACACACATACTCCTAATAACATAACATATCCGGTGAGATATGCACATTTGATGCATGTCGAGGAATTCAGTGAATGTAAACAGATTTTCTCTCCCTGCTGGCTGCGCCACAATAATATTACAATGTATACAGTAGCTTCTCACTCCCGGTGTCTCATCAACTGATGCATGCTAAAGTTGGAGAGTTACCTGGGTGGTGGGAGAGTGGTCTCTCTTGTGCAGGGGTATGTCTGTTATAAATGGACCTGTAGTGGGACCTGTAAAGGGACCTGTAGTGGGACCTGTAGTGGGGACCTGTAGCTGCTTACATGAGAGTGGAGGGTGAATGTCTCAGCCTGCTTGAGAAAAAACGTGGTTCTTTAAGTGGGTACGTGATGGGTACTGTAGGGTATCTGCCGCGGCCTACATTAGAAAAGTTATTGTCCACCACACTCGCGTACAGAGTTTTTACTTTGAAAACTACATGTATGTTACTTTGACGTTTGACAGTAGCGCAGATTTCTAAAGAATTGCACATAAGCGACCAGGCCACTACTTTTACCGTAGAAAGAAGCTCGGTACTGAATACTAGGGAGATATTCATCAGTCTGCCGAGCTCCTGACTTGGAACCCACCGTTCTGCTATAATGCGCCCACATGTGCAGAAGCAGCTAGCAGAGACCTACATTTCATGCTATAATGTTCTGCTATAATGCGCCCACATGTGCAGAAGCAGCTAGCAGAGACCTACATTTCATAAATCTAATGAAACCCTGGTATCAGCAGGGATCCTGGTAACCCTGGTAACCCTGGTAACCCTGGTATCAGCAGGGATTGCCTATAACTACTTGATCTGTCAAAGCTAGCTTTGCCAACTAAGGCTGCAGCATTCTACTGCAGGGTCTGAAACTACCCAACTAAGGTTTCTCTTTGACAGCCAAGTTAGACATTGAGTTAGAATGAAGGCTCGAGTTAAATGCTGACAAGGGTTGTAGTGCTTTGTGCTGAGCAGCCAGCATGCAGGGGAAAGAAAGGAATTTGTTATTAATTATGCTTAATTATATGAGTGATTATGCGTGGTATGTGATTATGCGTGTATGTGATTACATGTGGTAGCGGGTTAATCTTCCTTCTCAGCCTATTAATACCTCGTTAATGTTCATGGCTCCATTGTCCAAACAATTCACTTGGACCACTGCCAAGTAGAGCACTAATACGGTCGAGTAATCTAGAGCTCATCACTGCAGCTCTGTTTAAATAACAAAAGCTGCCAGAAGCTCAGGATTTCATTATCAAACTGCAGCACACACACGCTGATCTGACGTCATCATCGCCACCACTATATGAAATTAAGCTTGTCACTGACACTACCAATTTAGGTGTTGTCACTGGTGAAGCGGCCGACTGGCTGGCGGTACACAGTGCTCAGTGGTTAGAACGGTTAAAACACAGTGGTTATTGGTTAGAACGGTGCAGGACTATTGATATAATTTGAAGGTTTATAACCGCTTGGTTTCTGATATTATGTCGTCAGAGTCTGTGCCCTAGAAAACCTTGCCGACTAATGAAGGTTAAAATATTGGATACTACAGTATGGTAGCTTCACAGTTTTACGGCGTCAACACAACAAATTTAAACTTCCGTTTCTGACAATTGTGTGAATTTGACAAATTAACACTTCCAATCTCAGATTCAACCTACTAAAACTCTAACTTTTATTGTAAGCTGAGATTATTTTTGTGTCAAAGCCAACTGACCAAACACAGGGGGAACATTCTGAAGAATCCGAAGAATTTAGCAGGAATTGACACCCGTGTGGCTGACGTGAACTTTGCGGTTTCCCAGTGAGTTCTGACTTTGCACAGACTACAAGTGCAGTGTTACAACTATCAATTGGGCAAATTTTAAAGTATTTGTTAATCGGACAACACACAGTCTGCAGTTATCCTGCCTCACTACTAGTGACATTAGCTGCTGAGTGAGCTGTTATCCTGTCTCACTACTAGTGACATTAGCTGCTTAGTGAGCTGTTATCCTGCCTCACTACTAGTGACATTAGCTGCTGAGTGAGCTGTTATCCTGCCTCACTACTAGTGACATTAGCTGCTGAGTGAGCTGTTATCCTGCCTCACTACTAGTGACATTAGCTGCTTAGTGAGCTTTTATCCTGTCTCACTACTAGTGACATTAGTTGCTGAGTGAGCTGTTATCCTGCCTCACTACTAGTGACATTAGCTGCTGAGTGAGCTGTTATCCTGCCTCACTACTAGTGACATTAGCTGCTGAGTGAGCTGTTATCCTGCCTCACTACTAGTGACATTAGCTGCTGAGTGAGCTGTTATCCTGTCTCACTACTAGTGACATTAGCTGCTGAGTGAGCTGTTATCCTGCCTCACTACTAGTGACATTAGCTGCTGAGTGAGCTGTTATCCTGCCTCACTACTAGTGACATTAGCTGCTGAGTGAGCTGTTATCCTGTCTCACTACTAGTGACATTAGCTGCTGAGTGAGCTGTTATCCTGCCTCACTACTAGTGACATTAGCTGCTGAGTGAGCTGTTATCCTGCCTCACTACTAGTGACATTAGCTGCTGAGTGAGCTGTTATCCTGTCTCACTACTAGTGACATTAGCTGCTGAGTGAGCTGTTATCCTGCCTCACTACTAGTGACATTAGAAAAAAAAATACTAGTGTACGGTATATAGGATAAATCTTTGTCATAATAATATGCAAAATGCATTATATAATAGTCCCAGTGGAATAATACCTGCCTCCCCACTTCTAGCTAATCAAACTACCTGTCAGTAATGACATGGGATAGCACTTACTTTGACCTGTAGTAGTAGTAGTGAGTAGTTGTGACATCTGCCAGATACCATCACGTGCCTTGTGCCCATGGTAATCTCTCTAATTGATATTGGTAACCATGGTAACCTCTCTAATTGATATTGGTAACCATGGTAAGCTCTCTAATTGATATTCCTTAATTTGGTTTTACTGAGCATTACATTCAGGATGGAATTAGATTCTAAAGTAATGTGGGGTAGATAGAGGGAACGAGAGGTTCAGTTAAATACCTTAAATAGTTTGGAGTATGTTGGACAGCTCCAATATAATATAGTTATTAGAGGGGCCGAATCATTCAAATAACCAATATAGCTCTTCTGTAACATTGTGCAGGAACTGACGTACATATTGTGTGAATGTTTGGAACCCATAGACTGGCAGAGAAGCGCTCAAAATCTTGTGATGAAGTACTCTGTGATGTGATAGTATCTTGTAATGCAGCTGGTACTAGAGATACAGTGTAGTAATGTGTGAGACATGATTAAGGACGGAAGTTGCAAAAACATACGAGGTACCAGGGTTACAGAGGTGAAGTTACTATTTGCCACTTTATGTAGGGCTACATACGAGGTACCAGGGTTACAGGGGTGAAGTTACTATTTGCCACTTTATGTAGGGCTACATACGAGGTACCAGGGTTACAGAGGTGAAGTTACTATTTGCCACTTTATGTAGGGCTACATACGAGGTACCAGGGTTACAGATGTGAAGTTACTATTCGCCACTTTATGTAGGGCTACATACGAGGTACCAGGGTTACAGGGGTGAAGTTACTATTTGCCACTTTATGTAGGGCTACATACGAGGTACCAGGGTTACAGAGGTGAAGTTACTATTTGCCACTTTATGTAGGGCTACATACGAGGTACCAGGGTTACAGGGGTGAAGTTACTATTTGCCACTTTATGTAGGGCTACATACGAGGTACCAGGGTTACAGGGGTGAAGTTACTATTTTCCACTTTATGTAGGGCTACATACGAGGTACCAGGGTTACAGAGGTGAAGTTACTATTTGCCACTTTATGTAGGGCTACATACGAGGTACCAGGGTTACAGGGGTGAAGTTACTATTTGCCACTTTATGTAGGGCTACATACGAGGTACCAGGGTTACAGGGGTGAAGTTACTATTTGCCACTTTATGTAGGGCTTGGTCGGTGGTGCTGTTTAAAGTGTTTGTGGAGTATTTGTGGTGAAATGTTTGAGGTATATATAATATAGTGTTTTAACCGAGTGTGAGGCGTGTAGAATCTCCAGTGAAGATTATCTTACACGTGTACTGAAGGTGAAATGTTGGTGATGTTGGTGGTAATTTGATGAAACTAAGAGAGGGTTGTTTGAGAGGTAGCGCCAGTTTCAGACAAGTCAGGGCGTGTTTATCACAGTTTGCAGACTAGCAGTCAGGGCGTGTTTATCACAGTTTGCAATATCTTCAATGCGCTGATGGTTTCTGCCAGACAGTGGGAAAAATTAATGGTTTTAATATCTTTATATAATATATTATATTATATATCAATTAATAGGATCTGTAAACTGGAATAACTCCTGTAAATTTCTTTAAACGATGATAACAAAATTAACAATTGGGCGTAAATTCCATACTGAAATCATCGCGTTGGCTTGTTTCAGTGCACTTTAAATTTAAAAATAACACGTATTTTTAAAACACAGAACCAAAATACAGACTTGAAGCACGCGCGGCAGCAGTCTGTTAAAGATTAGACAAGTCATTACCCTGCCAATAGATAACAGTAGTTATCACCGCCCACGTGCGATATAGTTAACACTCTCATTACAGCAGCCTACAAAGTAATCTGTATCCCCGGCTCTATTGATAACCACTCTCTCAGTCTCTCTCAGTTCCCTCTATTACACCCTGTTATAGTAATATCAAGTTAGCTTCTCCACCACATCCCTGATATTTACCTGTAAACCACCTTTCAACACGCCCCAACCACTACCCTCAATCACCTGTAATGTAAGCGATGATGCCAATCTCCATATTCCTACCAATCAGATGGTAGATTGGTTGTCACGTGACTAATTAGAGCTGTATCACGTGGTATCGTGTCACGTGGTAACAGGACTCGTTGCTATGGTAACTATGGTACTCGTTGTAATCAAGATTTGACGAGATGTCAGGTTAAACCTGGTTATGTAAACAATAGTACTCATACAGTCACCTGGCAGATGTTACGTCTGGCACGGTGTGAAGTCTTACAAGACTTCTGGCGGCAAGTACCACGTGGTATGAGATAATCAACATCACGTGACACTATAAACCCTGTCACGTGGTGTGCAAAAACCGCCCACGTGCAAAACCACCCACGTGCTCGGAGATATCAAACAAGGTGGTAAAAGTTCTGACTTTTGGGTAGCCGGGATCCACAGGACTTTCTGGCTAGGTAAAGTGAGTGGGTTAATTAGGGTGGTTAGGTTAAGTGTCAAGTGTGTACGTTTACTGGGTCCTGTGGAGAAGAGTCTGTCAGTGTTTAGCAGTACTTTACCTGTGCAGTAGTAGTGTGTTCTGTTTTGTTAGTGCGGAAGTTTGTTGGCACGCTGCCAAATAGCGCTTTTTGTTGACCAGATGAAAATGTATAAGTGTATAAATGTATGTCGTGTCTTGACTCTTTGAAATTTGACATGATCATTTCGCTTCCCCCTTTTTGGGATTTCTAATATCCGAATTTCTCTGTCTGACATGAAACTTGAAAGTAGCTACTATGAACCAAAAAACTACCACAGTTTGAAATCACTGCTAGCAAAATAACAACCATAATTATTTACTAAACCATAACGAGACGGAAAGTAAAATGTTTTCCTCTTTCAGGTGAAAGTTCCCCTCAGTAAAATGATTTCTTCTTTCAGGTGAAAGTGCCGGCCTCAGTAAAATGTTTTCTTCTTTCAGGTGAAAGTGCCGGCCTCAGTAAAATGTTTTCTTCTTTCAGGTGAAAGTGCCGGCCTCAGTAAAATGTTTTCTTCTTTCAGGTGAAAGTGCCGGCCTCAGTAAAATGTTTTCCTCTTTCAGGTGAAAGTGCCGGCCTCAGTAAAATGTTTTCCTCTTTCAGGTGAAAGTGCCGGCCTCAGTAAAATGTTTTCTTCTTTCAGGTGAAAGTGCCGGCCTCAGTAAAATGTTTTCTTCTTTCAGGTGAAAGTGCCGGCCTCAGTAAAATGTTTTCCTCTTTCAGGTGAAAGTGCCGGCCTCAGTAAAATGTTTTCTTCTTTCAGGTGAAAGTGCCGGCCTCAGTAAAATGTTTTCTTCTTTCAGGTGAAAGTGCCGGCCTCAGTAAAATGTTTTCTTCTTTCAGTTGAAAGTGCCAGCCTCAGTATAATGTTTTCCTCTTTCAGGTGAAAGTGCCAGCCTCAGTAAAATGTTTTCCTCTTTCAGGTGAAAGTTCCCCTCAGTAAAATGTTTTCCTCTTTCAGGTGAAAGTGCCGGCCTCAGTAAAATGATTTCTTCTTTCAGGTGAAAGTGCCGGCCTCAGTAAAATGTTTTCTTCTTTCAGGTGAAAGTGCCGGCCTCAGTAAAATGTTTTCCTCTTTCAGGTGAAAGTGCCGGCCTCAGTAAAATGTTTTCTTCTTTCAGGTGAAAGTGCCGGCCTCAGTAAAATGTTTTCTTCTTTCAGGTGAAAGTGCCGGCCTCAGTAAAATGTTTTCTTCTTTCAGGTGAAAGTGCCGGCCTCAGTAAAATGTTTTCCTCTTTCAGGTGTAAGTGCCGGCCTCAGTAAAATGTTTTCTTCTTTCAGGTGAAAGTGCCGGCCTCAGTAAAATGTTTTCTTCTTTCAGGTGAAAGTGCCGGCCTCAGTAAAATGTTTTCCTCTTTCAGTTGAAAGTGCCGGCCTCAGTAAAATGTTTTCCTCTTTCAGGTGAAAGTGCCGGCCTCAGTGCTGTGCTCGAAAAAGGGTTTCGGAAAGGAGATCTTGTTCACATTAGCACCAACAGTAAAGCTTTATCATCTTATCGCTGAGATTGAAAAGGTTAGTTTCACATTAGCACCCACAGTAAAGCTCTATCATCTTATCGCTGAGATTGAAAAGGTTAGTTTTATTTTTAACATGATAATTTTAATAACAATAACATGTAGAGTAATGATGTCATTTTTACTGTGACCACTTTATAAATTTATAAAAGGCATAAGTATTATTAATACATTAGATACACTTTTAAAATGGAATAACTATTATTATTAATACATTAGATACACTTTTAAAATGGTATAATCAAGAATATCTCGCGGTACCGCTTACTAAGTACCTATGTTAAAATGGATTTGTTCAAAGCACTAGCTCGCTATTTCTAGTCAAACCGTCACCTGATATATATATGAAATGTATATATATATACATTTCATAGACCGATTTAACCGGGCCATATTGATTAACACATTAGATTAGTCCACATTATATCTCGTGAGTATGTGGGCGGAAGTAACCATAGTAACCACATCTTATTAACACTAAGTTGTCTTCTTTAATTGGTTAGCGGAAAAAACGGTCTGAAGAACTTGGCAACCGTTTGTGGAGCCGACTAAAATATGTAAACAGGAAAAATCAGCTGAAAAGAGCGATAATATGTGATATTACACGTGATATTACTCGTGTTACTGTTCACAATAATTGGAATCCTCACAAATACCAGTAACTAACTATAATTTCACCGGATGTAAATTGCAATTAATGAATTAGTTGCCCCAGTTACTGTTACGTTCTAACTTTTCTTGTTAACCATGAAAACTGTACAACATTCTCCCGCCGCGGCACTCGGGATAATTTATATAATATCATAAAGTAACTTCGTTAGTATCTCTGGAATTTGCTAGATCAAGCTGAAATATGACACATTTACTAATTGGGTATGAAAAACAAGTTGCAACTTATCGTACGAGAGGGTTTGACACACAACGCTTACATTGCATGCGGAGCTGAGTGTATCTTGATATACTCACCTCCGCATGCAATATTAATATACTAGGTCCTTGATTCTGGAGATCCAAGCTTAAGAAATGTTGTGGAATCTTTAAGACTTAGAAACTTTGCCACGAAAGGAACAAGTAGCGAGTACTTGCTAATTGCGAGTTTCAATTAAACTTTATTAAATGATTATTTAATGTAAGTGCATAGTTACTTTTAAATCATTATATTATTTATGATGATAAAATATAAATACTCTGTGGAATTAAGAAGTAACGGTAATTGTGGTGTTCAGTATAAATTATGAACTTGTCCTTATATGGTATCATATTCTTCATATTCTTCATATTCTTCATATTCTTCAGAAGGACTGATGTAATCCTGAAAATAGGTCACTTTCTCATACAAATAACTATTTTTACACGAATCAGCTGATAGACCACGGTGCATTAGACTTGCGAAAAACCTTTCGGCTTTCAAAGCCAACAAATCATTTGCAGTATCTAAAAACAGCTTTGAATGAACTTGATATAGACTGAATGTGATGGATCGAGAGGTCCACTATCTCGCAACTTGTACTCTTTGTTTAATGGTAGAAATATTCCGCGGAGTTACTTAGAAATGATGAGGTATTTAGAAAGTTAGAAATCCAACAGCTTCGCTTAATACCAGATACGGTCTTAAAGTTCGATCAACATATTTCTCGGAATTTCATAAACATCTTCTATTTTAGTTCAGTTATTCTAATTCATTCATTATGTTATACTGAAATATTTCTAAAGATTTCTAAATATTTCTAAAGATTTGTAAGTATTTCTAAAGATTTCTAAATATTTCTAAAGATTTCTAAATCTTGCAGTTTACGAACATGCCTCTGATGAGGTACAAGCTGTGTCCGGGGCTGGTTCTGCAGGACTGTCTTGATTTCTGGGTAAGATTAAATTAAGATTAGATCTAACCTTTAACCTCTTTTCCTCATCTTTAATTTCTCTACGTTTTGGTATGCGCCGGACTAAATTTTGCTCCGTCCTGAAAATTTACAATTTCGCGGGGTTTCGTACTTCCCTTCATGAGTCGCGCCTGTCTTGCTCTTTAAACCGCAAAATACTTTTAATTACCTTAACTTAAAACTTCGTAACTTACTACTTAGTCCCTACTCCTTACACCCATATATGATGGTAAATACTTGCGGCTATTTTACGACTAATACGCTAACTTGCTCGGACTGCACATATATTAGCATGATATCTTAATTAGATAACCAAAATAGAGACTTCCTCAGTCCTTTAACAACATAGACTGACATAATTTGTCAGTCAAATCGTTTAAAGCTACAGATTGGGAGTGGTAGCGAAGTTTAAAGCTTAAGTTGTAGCGAATTATTCTGCGGTGCAAAAATATAATTATATTTTTTCTCAACTGCTCCCACTTCCCAGTCAGCTGGTATCTTAGAGGGTCTGGATTGTGACATTGAGGACGCTGTTGAAACGTGGACTGGTTGTGATGTAAGCAGGTGGTGACTTTTTGTCAGCCACCCGTTGAAAATGGCGTGCCAGTTCTGCAGCAAAAATCAGTAAAACTGCGCGAACTTTAGCTTTCTGCAGATAATATAATTTAGGTCATTACATAGCAAGTTTTGTAAACTGATATTACTGTGTTAATTTTATAGTCGAATGTTAATATGATAAGTCAGGACGAGGGTGTTTCTGAATTCTGACGAATTATTGCACTCCCGTGTTCATTGATTGCCATGCACGATCCACCATTAAACCACAGCCAGAATAAGCTCAGTCGAGGAACATGGGATACTCTTATCTAATAAGTAATAGCTACAGTCTCAATACTGCATCTCTTATCTAATAAGTAATAGCTACAGTTTCAATACTGCAGGTTGCAGACTGACCCAGCAGAGTAATTAACTTTAAGTCCTTTCGTATGCTGCACAGAACTCTATTTTAGGATCAAATATAACCTACTTCCTCTACCAAAGCAACATTTGATTGATAAACGGCTCTAAGCGGTCATTCCAAAGACCCTCTATATGGATTACAACTTTCGAAAATTACTGTTCGTAAATTGTACCCATAATCCGGATTTTACACGTCCCCTTTATTGATTGTCAAAATTGTAATTATGCGGATTTTGGAATAATATTCAAAGTAAAGTCTCTCAGACGGGCATCCACTTTCTAGGTGTGTATTAGGTTGGATTATGTGGATGTAGTAAGATATAGTATTATTTGAACAGTTTTAAGTGCAAAATATGTCATCCCGGCATTATAACTAGTAGCATTCTGGCTCTGAAATTTCTTTAAAATCGTGAACTCTATTTTTGGATCAAATGTAAATTTTAGAATAGGAATTATGAATGGTAAAGTGGTATATTCCGTCATTATGCTACTCAAAATAATATCCACTCAGACTAGCTGCATCATTACATGGTGTTAACTGTTAATGCGGCTACATTCTGCCGTATTGGTAGTAAAACTACTGAAATATCTGATTTGAAGAATGTATTTTGGATATTTTGAGAGGTTGCATTCTAAATTCAGCAGTGCAATTGTATTAGGATACTAAATTGATGCACATTTTTTTGAGGTACTAAGTGCTTACATCCATATTCATTATTCATGCACTTCAAATATTTTGAATTCTTATGAATATTATTCGAATATTTTTATTATTACTGAGGTATGTCGATCTATTTCTTGGCCACGATTGGTTGGACAGTTATCACGCTCCCCTGATGTGCGTTAATTGACGTTGGACATCTAGCAAATTCTCGCTATTTGTACAATATGGTCTTGTGATACAGTGTGTGAAAGGTAAATTGTACTATTAACTATAATATTTATAAAGGAGCTATAATAATAATCTACTCGTTATCCAACTCCCTATCTTATAATAATATATTTTGTTGATGCTCATATATTATGTGCAACTATACATTTGTATTTCATATACACATTTTACAATGCAATGCTCCTATGGGTTCCCAAAATAAACTGCTTTTCTCAAACTAGACCTTTCCTTTACTTTTCAGTAAACTCGTGGCCTGGCAATCAAATATCAGCAACATTTCTCACCATTTTACCAATCTAATCAAATTGTTCTTGTGACAAAAGCTCTCCTCAGAATAATATTCCCCACGCGCCACGTCATGTAATTTAGATACACGAAAACATCATGATCACGTTGTATGTAATATTATGTAACATAAGAACTTGTACTGTAATATCACCTTCACTCTTACTACTCCTTCTCTCAAAGAAGAAATCAGCCGTTTTCTGTGGAAAATCAAAAGTTTTCACTAGAGAAGAATTCATACGTCATGACCATGTATTTTGTATATTGTGACGTAATAAGACGTACTACTCCTCCTCTCATATAACAGAAACTCTACTGTATACAATAATCTCCTCAGTAACTACTACTGTTACTACTACTGTTACTACTACTGTTACTACTACTGTTACTACTACTGTTACTACTGTTACTACTACTGTTACTACTACTGTTACTACTACTGTTACTACTACTGTTACTACTACTGTTACTACTACTGTTACTACTACTGTTACTACTACTGTTACTACTACTGTTACTACTACTGTTACTACTACTGTTTCTACTACTGTTACTACTAAGTACTACTCCTCACTCTACAGGCAACTATCGCCACTCCAAAGAATGAGCTAAAGTGTAAAATAGTTTTAATTTTTACATAAAATCATACAGTGTCACGCGATATCACGTGATATCGTACTCATCACTCAGTTTAACAAGACAGAAGTGTATGTCTGCTAACACTAACAGTAGTAGGTAGTACTGTAGTAACACCGCACCTACTGTCTTTACAATAATACGTGTCGACAACATGTCTACTACAGAACATGTCTAGTGTCAGAGGCAAAGTCCACTATTATTACATCTCACTTTCCTAGCTCCTATAGTTCCATCTACAGAACATGTCTAGTGAACAACACGGTAGAATACTGTTTACTAGTAGAGTAATGTCTAATAAAGTAGTGAACTGAGAGAGAGTTACTGTTAACTGAGAGACATACTGTCTAGTAAACAGCATGAGAGAGAGAGTTTACTTGTTCCTACTGTCAGCTGTACTTGTAGGTCTGCTACAGAGATACAGAAACTAGTTACCGTCAGACGTATAATACTGTCAGTATACACTATACAGGTGGTATCAAGGTGGGTATTATTACTGCTCTAACTGTGTAGCTGTGTGTTTACGTCTGGTAGCAGGAGATATGGTGCTTTAGTTAGCATGTCATATTATAATAGATACCACTATAGTTATATTATAAGCATGGGTGGGGCGGCGGTCACCAGAGCATGCCACTGCAAAGCGAAAGTAGTTACTGCTAGACATATTGACGATTACGGTAGTGTATTACAAGTCATGGTCGTCTGACTGTACCGTGGTACAAGTGGTGCAGTGTGCAGTGTGCAGTGTGCAGTGTGCAGTGTGCAGTGTGCAGTGTGCAGTGTGCAGTGTGCAGTGTGCAGTGTGCAGTGTGCAGTGTGCAGTGTGCAGTGTGCAGCACAAGTGGTGCAGTGTGTAGTGTGCACTGTAGTGTCCCAGTTAGCACAATATGGCTGCAGTGTTTACTGATGTGGCCACTAGACCATTTCATGGTTGATACTGCTCAGTATCAGACATCTACTTCAGTTTACAGTAGTATTAAGTCTCGCTGTGACTTATTAACGTCTGGTAACGGAAAAGGCGCTGTGTAGTGAGCTCACGATAACATGCACCATAAGACGTGGGGGGGGGGGCGGGGGTATTGGTCACCAGAGAGCATGTCATTGTGCTCATAGTATGACTGTTTAAGTCTGACTGCACGTAAATAGTGCTGTACTGTTGCTGGGTAGGATCCAAGAAGCCCGACACACAGCTGAACCATTAAATACTGTATAGTGGTCGACAAATCATGTCATGGCCGCACTTGCATATAATGCTTTAATGCAGCAGTACAAATAGTATAGTACTACTGCTACTACAAGAGTTTTAGTATGGAGTTATGCGGAGTAGAGTTATGCGGAATAGATTGAGCGTGCAATAGGTGACGTGAGGGTCAGGAATAGTACGAGAGAGGGGGGAGCTGGTTTAAAACAGAGTGTGGTTAGTAAATAGTGAGAGTGACTTATTGTGTGTTACTAACTGAATGTGTGTGAGTTATTTTTGAGGGGGTGTAATGTTTAGTGACCATTATTTTAGATTAAGTTAACTAAGAGGACAAAATCTATCTTTGGAGAATGCTTGATAATTTTTAAATGTCGACAGTGTCAAGTTGTGAATACTTTTAAAATTTAAATGTATGTATGTCAGAAGCAAAGTCCACTATTATTACATCTCACTTTCCTAGCTCCTATAGTTCCATCTCTGGTAATGTATAATCGGTTTTTTGATTGTATTACCCTCTCAAACTCCTTGGTAGAATCCAGCCTGCAACACGATTGGTCAGTTCATCACTCGTGACCCCAGCAACTCACCCTGATTGGCTGAACACGTGGATGATTGCCACGTGTGTGCTGCTGACGCGATAATTTATAAAGGCGAGGTTTCACAATGCCGATTAATGAGTATTTAATTTTAGTGAGCCGATATCAGACACTCTGCCTGGATGCTGGCTAAATTCATTAGTTATCTTGTGGTTCATTAGCAGCAAAAAGGTCTCACCCGCACATAGCAATAGTGCAAAGATTTCGGTGCAGTGGCTGCTATTGATGTGTAACCGAATTGGTACAAAGTGCAATATATATATATATAGTGCACTTTCTGTTTCATTGCAACCACGTGAGGAACCAGATTAAACAGAGATATAATTCAAGCTTTCAAGATAAATAAGGACTCGATTGATTCATCACTAAATTTCACTGTCAGTTTATCTTTAGCTTTCTTATCATCTTGATATTGTCTTATAACCACAGTCGTTTAGGGTTCAGTCTCTCATGACAGGATATGCTGAAAATAGCCTTGCTTCCTTTTGTCTGTTATTGCACTTGACTCGTGTTTTATAACTTTGAAGTCAAAATAAGGTCCATAATTTGCACCCAATCTTCGGTACCAAATATTCATCAATCGGTCAGTATTATGCTACTGCAAAACGTATAACTCTAAGTTCTAACCATTATTATGAACAAAGTGAAATAAATTTGCTATGTTCGGATATTATACCATGCTATATCCTGAGCCCAAACTGCCACACTTTGAAAACTCCCTAGATGGAATCGTGAGATATTGTACATCCGGTGTTGGAGTGACTATAAGAAGTGTTAGTGTAGAAGTTCGGAGGCTGCAGACGTCGGTTTAACCAAGTTACCGGAAGCCACAAACCATACAAAATTATGGTGATTTGACCGCTCGGAAGGACTTGGGACAAGGAAACGTCTTCTGTGTTTTTATGCGGCACGCGCGGATGATATAAAACTAATATTTGTAGCGCAAAATACGCGCGCAGTAGGGCGCGCGCCATGTGCTTTATCTCCAAAGGATGCAAAACAAAGCCAGTAGCGGTAAATGACCCAGCTGTTTGCAATCAGTCCCTAATTAACTCGTTAAGGGTGGCCATTTACCACTTAGCGCCCTAATCATTCGATTATCTCAGCGAAGTGAAGAAGATCTAAATCTAAACAAAGAGCTCCAACTCTGCACAGCAATGGAGGAGGTACGTTTTAACCACAAATTAAGTCACTTGTCATCAATCACCACTGACCCTACCCTAATGATACTGTCACCGTTTACGGAGAATCGCATGATTCTAAATATATAATGACTTATTTATTCATGTGATATTAAAAACATAATCGCAGGCTCCGACGTTGCATTTCCGAGTGATCTCGAAAGAAACGAGTGAGATGGAGGTTAAGGTAGCCATAGCATTGCCTCCTATGGTTATAACTGCAAATTACAAGACTGATAGCACCACAGCAGATCTATTGTCTACCGTAAGAAATTACTTTTCTTATTTAAAGTATTTATTATTCCTACTATGACTGTTGATTTCGCACTGATGTACCGTAAAGTCACCAGCTGGCAGGGTTTTTTGATAATTATCCGTTTACAAAATAGTTTATTACAGATTATCAACTCGCCCAAACTCAAAGAGACGCACATAAAAAGAAATATGCAAAAGTTTGGTCTATATCATCCTAAATACAAAGTTTTGTAAGTACATATTTTTCTTCACAATTTTATGAAACGTTTTCTGTGTTTCAGTTGATAATTTTTGCAGTTTTAAACTAGTCATTAGCTTTAGTGATAAAGAACTGGGTTACTATTTTTAACACCAATATAATTTGATTTTCATAACTTGATGAACACGCAGCAAATATACTGCATTATCACATAATATATGAGTGTTAAATTGTAACCTTTACGCTTACTTCACAGCTTGAGAACGGATGAGTTGGTGTCATTTTACAATATAACGAATTATGACGTCTTGGAGCTAAAGGTAGGAAGTGTTACTGTCTTCATTATTCTAAAGTCCATAATATTAGTTATTGAGCGCAACTTATTAACAGATGAAGTTCAGGTCGTAGGTCCTTCTTTTGGGAGAAGTCATGATATATGTAGTTAGATTGTGAAAATAGTTCAAGATGTCCCGAGGCTGTCGGCACCAGACCCTATCAAATAGGGCTCAGTTTCCTTAGGGCCAAGGTTTGGTATTGCATCCTTACTGGACAGAATCAACTCAGTCGAGTTACTTCCGTGGCAAGGTGCGTTATTTTTGATCAATGAAGAATCTGTAAAATGGGGTACAATGGATACAAATATGATATTTCCTTGTGTTTGAAATTTAACATAGATCATCTGTCCAAATGCCCAACAAATATTTTCTTTTGTCCACATTAAATAACTACTCTCACATCTAATCAATAACTAACCCACACGGCCCTCTTTTTGCAGACGCGTACGCAAGGAGTAGGCGGACAGTCCCTCTACCTGCATGTTATGATTCCAGATGAGAACAGAACTGTGCTAGTCGTTATCAACAGTGACGCTAGTGTTGCAGACCTTATCAGGTTTGTACTGTTTCAAATTAGGGAACTAGATAAAAGATAAGGTAGTTCTCTGGTGGGAATTTGAACCGGGAAGTGGTTTGGAAATGTGGCTATTTTGGTGTTTCACATACCGGAAGTTGGAAAAGTGACATGTCGTTAGTATGATATGAGTCCAGTCACCTGTAAAATATCAACCTCAATACATTAACTCGATCGATATTCAAACAGTGATGAATAAATTTGTCAATAAGTAATAATTGATTTGTAAATTAATATTTAATTAATTATATTTTTAAAACTTATTTAAATATTTGATAAATAACTTTTTAAAATATTTGATAAATATTTAATTAATTTGTAAATCAATATTCAATTAATCAATCAAATATTTAATTATTCAATTAAATTAATCCCTTGTATTACAGTAAGATATTGCTGGAGGTAGAGTCACGCGATGACTCCAAATGGAACTACTACGGAGTGTACCTCCCCTCTAACGAGGAGAGACAAGGAGGCTGGATGGACGACTACAAGATGCTGCACTCTTACTCTCTCAACTCTGTGGTATGTGTAGTACAGTTACACATATTACACATTCTACACATTTTACACATTTTACACATTTTACACATTTTACACATTTTACACATTTTACACATTTTACATATTTTACACAGTTACACATTTTGTTACAGCTGTTTAGAATCTCTCCTCGTATATGGATTCGGAAATATGGATTATGGTGTGGAGGTGAAGCATATATCTTCTATCGCGTGATAGTGATTCTTGGGTTCGATTGGTCAATAGTGGAAGCTGACTGGTTATTGGTTTATTGCTGTCACGTGACAAAAACATGCTTCACTTCCAGAATCGACATCTATTGCTCGATAAGAGGCTCAGATGATGGCCATCATCTACTGCATTATTTAACAACTTCAACAACTATTCTGTCCGAGTCAAAACATATTATGAATACATAATTGAAATTTTTGAACCTATTATTCCTGTTTTAATCCAACTATCATATCTTTCTGTAACTCTTATCTCACTCTTATCTCACTTATCCCCCCCTTTTCTTCAGGACAAAGTAGAGCTGCGAGCCCGGTTCCGGATGTTTATATTCGACCTACAAGTGTACAGTACATCCCAACAGTACACCAGACACTTTGTAAACATGTACATCTCAGATAAGATAACAGCTGGGGAAGTACTCCGCATTATTACCAGTACCAAGTGAGTGAACAATGTGTGGATTTGTTGCATTTTTAGTTGATGTCCAGTTGTCCATTATTAATTATCAGATATTAGCAATCCATGAGAAATTCCCGGAAAAAATATGTTTTCTATCCGTTACATTATTTTGTTTTTAGAAAAGGGACCACATTGTACCTCATACATTTTCATTATTACTACCTATCTAAAATATTTCCTTGTGTTTCAGTTGTCTGGACTACCCTACCTCATGGTACGGTATCTACCTGCACGATAACGAGCGTATCCAGGACAACATGAAGTTGTGTGCTGCTCTGGAGGATAAGGGGACTAGTAAACAGGACTCACTGGTCGTTCACATGATACATCAGCCGATACATGTGAGTACACTTTACATTTTACACGTGTTTACATTGTTACACGTGGTGCGCTTTACACTTACTTAACTGTTCATAGTTTACACTTGCTTACTTGTACTTGATAAGGTCTCCTCCTAGTCGTTAGAGGGGCCTGCACCACACAGTAACTCCTTATTTCGATGTATGAGACCTCTCCAATGTACCCTGTTTGTTGCTTGTTTGTTACTTTACATTGTTAACTGTAAATTGAGAATGTTAGCTGTTCATAGCTAACTGTTGTTAACTCATTAACTGTTACATTTTAATTGATTAATGATGAATCTCCTATCGTTTGATCATTATCCTCTACGAGCCTTCAAGTCTAGATAATATTTGTTTGATCTTGTATGCGGTAAAGTTGTTTGGATGTACGAGTTTGTATCTTTAATAAATCCTACTTTGAAACACTGTATTAATACTGTGGTTGTTTTAACAAGGTCAACAAGCAAATCAATGGAATTAAAAGGCTTTTAACTTTTAACATCTGTTGAATGTTATTTAACAACAGCAATCGGTTTGTCGCAAAAAGTAACAAAATGAATTTTAGCGACTGACAGCATTGTAGCAATTTGTGGATCTTTGTCATCAATTGTTCAATAAAAGTTCTAAACTAGGGATAGAAAATGAAGGAAGAAAATGTTGTTATCAATATAAACAATAATCACGTAACTGCTTACATGAATTGCAGATAAAATCTTCAGCAGAAAGTAAAAAAATCAACAGAAAGTAAAGATTAGAACTTCACCATAAACTAAATTTACTGGTTACTAGGTTACTGGGTTACTAGGTTACTGGTTACTATTTACTGGTAGCGCCTGAATATGAACTAAGGAAACTTTCTCTTTCAGGTTTCTTTACACGGTGAAGAGGAAACATCTCACACGTTTATGGTTGACTTCAGCATGCCTTTACAGCAACTCCACGCCATCTTCTGTAGATACTACGGAATCAGGGTCAGTCTGTTACATTGCAATATGTGTTTGATAACCAATAACAAATAAGCTAAACCTTAGGTACTTATTGACATGAATGTAGCCGTTCTTCTGAGATGACGTGATAGTGTATTCAAGTATTACATTAAGGATATCTAAATGTAACACCTCCTCTCTACAGGTTCCAGCAGCCTCCACTTTAGAACACAATGAAACCACACTGGATCTCACAATGTGTGCTATCAAAAACAAGATCAGTCCTAATTCATCCATCGCTATCAAATTCAAAAGGTAAGAGACACATTTTGATGAAATTGTGATCAATTTCATCGCAAATCAGCTGCTACTAGGATGAAAATAACTTAAATTTTAATAACAAACTCAGTAAATCTCTCTCTTAAAAGTATAATTACTTTTTTTCAATCACCTCTAACAATAATAACCTTGTTGCAGGATCTTAAGTTCGAGTCCCTGCAATGACAACAGAAATTCTGTCATGATGGGACGTGGTAGAGCAAAGAAACGGCACGAAAGCACTGATAGCACTGATTTGAAGTAAGTCAGCCTAGTTTAGGTATAGTGTACAATGTATAACTATAATGTATAATCAGTGTTATAGTTGAATGCTATTGGTTGAGCACTTCATCATGGCTTGAACCAGTGAAACACATATTTAATGGTGCTACAAAAACCCAGATACATAACTCCGCAAACTAAATCGAAGTTATAAAAGATAACCGCTAACTTTGTACCCCCTTCAGCTCAGTTCACTAACTTTGTACCACTTCAGCTCAGTTCGAAGCTTCAGCGACTGTTCTGGCTCAGAAAACAACACCCCCATCATGTCCCCATTCTCTCCTCGTCCTAACGACTGTCTTACTCCAACACTAAACCTGATAGACAAGATCCTTGCGGAGACAGCCACACGAGGGGAGGTCACCTCGTATGAATCTACTAACGGGGTAGAAACAAACGGGGGTGAGCCGGATATAGGTGGTCTGGTTATCAGGGACGATACTGGTTCTCCAACTTCACCGGTATCGGCGCCCATGTTAGCTGATATTAGCCCCATGTTGGTATCGTGTCCCACATCTCCTACCTCTCCTACCTCTCCCACCTCTCCTACCTCTCCCACCTCTCCTACCTCTCCCACCTCTCCTACCTCTCCAACCTCTCCTACCTCTCCAACGTCCCCAATACCAATCCTGTCAACTCGTGAGTTTTACAGTCGATAGGATTGTGCCTTATTTGAACAATTGCATGGTGGTATTTTTCAGAGAAGTGAATTTTAACCATTCTAGGCAAAGTTTTAAAAGTTATTTACTTTTTTTCAGGACGAATTGAGCCATCAAATAGATTTGACCCAAAAGGGCCAGAGGCTGTTATCCTTCGAAAACCATTAGAAAGGGTAAAACGAGCGCAGAGTAAGATATATGAGGAAGATGATATTAATATTTGGGACGACGACTCCAAGATAGAGGCCACCCTTATCAAGGAGCAAAACGGACAGGTTCGTCTTGGGATTTTCTCCTGGTTAAGCAGGAATGTTTGGTTTATCTGCATGTTTTCTCTTTCACAGTTTGACAGAATTAAACCATTGAGTTGAACAGTATACCCGAAATGCAAAGACAAGCATGCTTGATTCATACGTGCTTTCCTTATAAATTGTATCTCTGTTCCGCGGAACTTCAACGCATCCAGTTTCTTACCGACTTGATTAATATCTGAGCCACTAAGACAGAAGTGGTCTAGACTCTTGCAATTTATCCTTCCCTTTCGCTAAGTATTACGAACTTACTTTCAATAAGTTTCTGCCATATTAATATTAGTGAAGCTTACACATGATCTAACCATGTTTTTGAGTGGTTTGGTTAGGATTTCGGCAACATTAAACCCACTAAAATGAAGAAGGGATTGACAGATAATAGTCTAGACTAGTGGATATTTATAGTACGGTGGAATTACTCCTTACTTAACTTATAAACCATGTGGACTCGGGTGTGCCATGAGACTTCCGAGCAACTGTTTTAATGATATTTTATCGTTTGGATGGGGATTACCTTATCGTTTGAATTTTGAGCTAAATTCCACCATTTAAAATATAGAGTAAAGAGGAGCAATCCTTTAAATAACCAGACATTATGTTATCTTTAACGGCTGACAGGTTCTAATAACTGCTATTTCAGATCAAGAGTGGGACGTTTAACCGGTTCGTTGAGCTGCTCACTGATACGCGGAGTTATCGGATAAACTTTGTTAAAGTCTTCCTCCTTACCTACCAGGTAATACTGATAAATGATCACCCCTAACTTATAGATTTGTTAGCTTTATCGCTATAATCACTACTGTGAGATTATAATGAAGTCATGTTAAATGAATCAAATAAAACTTGACTAACAAACAGTTTAACTAAGCGGGACCTGTCTCACTTTGGTTACCGTCCCGACCGTTTAGACCGCACGAAATGATTTTGTCTATTTGCAAAATGTCTAGTCAGACAGTTTGTGTGGAAAAACGCAGTGTTTTAAAAAGGGTAAAGTGTTTAAAGAGAGTTGGGTGCCGGCTTAATACTCGTGAATAAGTTTACTCATTAATATATTATTAAAGTATGGACCAGACCAGCGTTGTGCAGCCTCGCAACCCACTGTTTGCACCGCAAACCTCAAATTGTTGCCATTTCTAAATGTAACAATTTGTGCGCTATTATGATCGTTAAGAATGGGATTGTGAAAAGTGTTAATATGTCCAGGACGTGTCTGTCACCGTTTTTCACGATATTTTAGACTTTAAAATGCTTTTAATTATGCATGCTTAATTTTGATGATTGTCATGATCGAAATTATTCAAGCTAAACGAAATTTAGAGAGATTCCCAGCGCTCAATGCCCCCAAAAAATGCGAAGTTATAGGATCTACTTTACAAGTTGACAGGCTAACTGCTTATTAAATCAGCCTTTGACGACAAATCAACAGAAAAGATTACTTAAACACCGAGTATTTATAAGAAGGAAAATAAATACCGTAAAAAAAGGTAAACGGGAAATTACTAAAATACTTTATAAAAATAAGTTTTTGCCCCCATAAAACTGGAATCTAACCGCTCGTTTCAGGCGTTCACAACTCCGAAGCAGTTGTTACGGAAACTGGTACAACGGTACAATGTACCACGTGATCCGAACATGACTATGGAGGAGTTTGTCAAGTACCGGATAGGAATCCAGAACGGTGTTATCAACTGCCTCAAGTTGTGGGTCACGGACGGAGACGATTTCGAGAGTAAGTTCGGAGATGAAAGTGACACAAAAAAGCGCACGTCAACCTTTTTAGTGTCCTGACGGGGGGGGGGGGGGGGGGGCCAATGACTACTTTTGGGGACTTGGGAAATTACGTCAACGATTTTACCCCGAGTCCCCATGATTTTTAGTCCCCATTAGTCCCCAAAAGTCTCCATTAGTCCCCATTTAGATGATTTTTAGTCCCCAAAAGTCTCCATTAGTCCCCATTTAGATTTATCCTACTCTTATCTTGGACAAAACATCTCGATCGTATCGTTATTAAACTAACTTGAAAACCATAAATAACTGTCAAAAATTCTGGGGACTTATGGGGACAAATGGTGAATTACGTCAACGAGTTGACCTCTAGTCCCCATGATTTTTAGTCTCCAAAAGTCTCCATTGGTAGTCATTGGCCCCCCCCCCCCCCCCCCCCCGTCCTGACTCTTGCTTCCTCCTCCTCATCTTCTCACCCTTTACTTAGTCTCATCTTCCTACTGTATCTACAAATTCCACTAATAATAATACTCCTGAAACCTCCGTTCTAACACCTCCTTTCTAACACCTTTCTAACACCTTTCTAACACCTTTCTAACACCTCCCTGTTTCAGATAACCCGCACCTCCAGAAGGAGTTTATGTCCTTTATACACACGTGTGTGTCACATGACAACCCCCAACAGTACCGGATATTACGGCAGAAGTTACTGGTTGTGAGGGGGATGGTGCAGGTTCCAGTTTCTAAGAAGGAAGATAACCGTACCCCGCCTCTTAAAGTAAGCTGCACTAAGGTGTTACTAACACCATTTAAACACCGTGTACAAGGTGTTACTAAAACCATTTAAATGAGACTTATTGGGGGTCTAGTTATGTTAGCAGTTAGGTGTTACTAACACTCTTACAAAGGTTGCATTAACACTACCTTTGGAGGTGTTAGTCGTGAGGTATACCGATAAGTAGAGTTTTACAACTTCCTATTACATTGGTCTCACTGGAGAATGGAGATAACATAGCCTGTATTTCTCGGAATTTCCATTATATTCTTGTTAATAACCATCCTCTCCTCTCAGCTGCCTCCCAACCTCTCTGCTAACGCCACCTTGTTCGACCACGGTCCCCCAGAGATCGCAAGACAATTAACCATGCTGGATTTCGCTTTGTTTGCCAAGATAAAGCCAATAGAGCTGGTTAACCAAGCGTGGGTCAAGCCAAAGTACTCCCACCAAGCCAAGAACATTCTTCACTTCGCAGAGAGAATGAATACCCTTACTAGATGGGCTGGTAAGAGAGCTGATTTTTGATATTTGTGTTTAGATTGAGACCATTTTCGGGCCAATATTTTAATAATCACTACTTCAAGGTAAGATTATTTCCATAACTGAGTATAGATACACATCAATCGAATTTAAGGACCCCTCACCCAATACTCTAATACTTGCTACTATTTCAGCCACGTCAATCTTAGCCCAGAAAGACAAAGCCAACAGAGCGAAGCTGATCACAGACTTCATTTCAATCGCGGACGAACTGTACAAGCTGAACAACTTCAGCTCCTTTATAGCTATTATAAACGCTCTGGAGGGAAGCGCCATCAGCCGGCTACATGCTAGCTGGAATAAGGTGGGGTTATCTTTTAGCAGGGTAATTAGGGTAATTAGGGGATTAGATCTGGATACTGGGTTATCCTGATCTTTAGTAATCTTACTACTGCGCTTTACATTAGTTTACAATTTCTCTGCTATTAGAATCCACGTGCGTCTAGAGGGTCCGAACTATCGGATTAATTAATCAACATTTAGCGAGTTGATGTTAATTGCATTGCTATAGTTCAGCGACTGATAACTGTATGGAGGTGCTAATTAAGCCATGTGTGTCGGTTGCTATAGTTTAATAATTAATCACACGGTAATCCTTTTGTTTACAGATTTATTGATTAATAATTATCTAATGCAAGTAATTTGATTGTTAACAAATTTATAGATTAATAATCATCTAATACAAGTAGTTTGATTGTTAACAAATTTATAGATTAAATTTAATAATCATCTAATACAAGTAGTTTGATTGTTTACAAATTTATAGATTAGTACTCATCTAATTTTCGTCCACCACCAGGTCGAGAGGAAGGTATGTCAGAGGAATGACGAGCTGTACGAGATTATCCTGCCCAACAGTAACTTCAGGAACCTCCGCAAGAAAGTCTCCCAGGTGACAGATAAACACTCACAGACTTTTTAAGATTTAAAGAAATTCTTCAAGCTTATTTGTTCCCATGAAGAGCGCGAAGATCCATTAGTGCAGACCAAGACCAGACGTTTAGAAGACACCTAACTCGCTGTCTGGCCCACAAAACCTCAATTTGTTGCCATTTCTGAATGTATCAATTTGTGCGCGATCACGATCGCTTAGAAATAGATATCCACATGTCTGTCAGAGTTTTTCACAATCTATCAAACTTTAGACTTCTTTCAATTATGCATGCTTAATTTTCACGACGGTCTAATTATAATATACTCAAGTTAAACGAAATTTAACGATATTAGACTCTCTATATTTTTTAGAGTTTCTAAAAGTATGGAAAATCACGAACTGGTTTACAGATAAAGGAACCCTTTACTGATTGAACTAATTTAACCCATTCCGATAAAAAACTACTAATTGATTACTAATAATTTATAATTAACAACCCATTAATTAATAATTAAACTAATAATTAAACTAATAATTAAACTAATAATTAAACCAATAATGAAACTAACAATACCCTCCCCCCTCAGTCTAACCCACCCTGTATCCCCTACGTTAACTAACAATACCCACCCCCTCAGTCTAACCCACCCTGTATCCCCTACGTTAACTAACAATACCCTCCCCCTCAGTCTAACCCACCCTGTATCCCCTACGTTAACTAACAATACCCTCCCCCTCAGTCTAACCCACCCTGTATCCCCTACGTTAACTAACAATACCCTCCCCCTCAGTCTAACCCACCCTGTATCCCCTACGTTAACTAACAATACCCTCCCCCTCAGTCTAACCCACCCTGTATCCCCTACGTTAACTAACAATACCCTCCCCCTCAGTCTAACCCACCCTGTATCCCCTACGTTAACTAACAATACCCTCCCCCTCAGTCTAACCCACCCTGTATCCCCTACGTTAACTAACAATACCCTCCCCCTCAGTCTAACCCACCCTGTATCCCCTACGTTAACTAACAATACCCTCCCCCTCAGTCTAACCCACCCTGTATCCCCTACGTTAACTAACAATACCCTCCCCCTCAGTCTAACCCACCCTGTATCCCCTACGTTAACTAACAATACCTTCCCCCTCAGTCTAACCCACCCTGTATCCCCTACGTTAACTAACAATACCCTCCCCCTCAGTCTAACCCACCCTGTATCCCCTACGTTAACTAACAATACCCTCCCCCTCAGTCTAACCCACCCTGTATCCCCTACGTTAACTAACAATACCCTCCCCCTCAGTCTAACCCACCCTGTATCCCCTACGTTAACTAACAATACCTTCCCCCTCAGTCTAACCCACCCTGTATCCCCTACGTTAACTAACAATACCCTCCCCCTCAGTCTAACCCACCCTGTATCCCCTACGTTAACTAACAATACCCTCCCCCTCAGTCTAACCCACCCTGTATCCCCTACGTTAACTAACAATACCCTCCCCCTCAGTCTAACCCACCCTGTATCCCCTACGTTAACTAACAATACCCTCCCCCTCAGTCTAACCCACCCTGTATCCCCTACGTTAACTAACAATACCCTCCCCCTCAGTCTAACCCACCCTGTATCCCCTACGTTGGACTCTTCATGTCAGACCTCACTTTCGCTACGGAGTGTAACCCTACAGTAGTTAATGGCATGATCAACTTCATGAAGTGTACCTACATTAATGACATTATTAACCGTCTCCGACTTTACCAGGTAAAATATAGTTAGGTAAATTTTTATTTAGGTTAATAATAAATTATAATTGTATTAGGTCCAGATCCCTTCCCGGTACTGTTCAGTGTTCGTGTGGTTTTATAACAAACTTTACCCAACAAAAGTCTTATTATTTATTTTAAAGTCCTGAGTTAACATTTAAAGAAGTAAATAACACATGAACAGTTTATTCTAATTTGTCACCCCCAGCACACGCCCTACCATTTCGAAGTTGTCCCCTCAATAGTAGCTCCTCTACAACAACTAAACGCACTGGACGAGGAGACCCTCTACGAGATGTCCTTACAGATCGAGCCCAAGAAACCCAAGTTAGTTTAATGATAGCAATAATTTATAAGATCCCTGAACATGTGAAGAGGCATTTAAGTGTTAGTTGGCATGTTGCCACAACAATGTTGGCATGTTGCCACAACATGCCCACTAACAACATGATGTTCTGCAAAGTCGATTGAATACCATTGAAATTTGAGTTCTATAACCCTGACCTTCTGTATAAACTAATTCCCGGTTCCCCCAGATAAAGAACATACAACCAAAAATATCAGACTTCAGACTATCTTCCTACACCAGAGTGATTTGAGCGGACTAAACCCCACAGTCTGACGAGACTTATCACTTCAGATTATTATTATCATAACTACCGAAGAACAATAATTACCCCTGTTATGTAGGATACAGAACATCATAATCTGACAGATAGGGCGTACTAGAAGATACCTATCGGGCGTACTTGAAGATACATATCGTGCGTACTAGAAGATACCTATGGGGCGTACTAGAAGATACCTAGGAACTGAAGACGCCAGACACTGATAATCAGAACTCTGTTTTTAGATTTTACTGTCCGTACTGTAGACGTTATCTGAATAATAATATAGGAAGCAATCGTTATTTTGTTGGTTATTTTTGTATATGCGATTATGAATAAGATAGTATATTGTAACACACCACCGCAACCGTGGTAACCATGGCAACCGTGGTAACCATGGCAACCGTGGACACGTTTATGGAGATGATAACTCGCTTTTTACCACCGCCCACCTTAATTAAAGTGTTTTGGCAGTGTTCAAGAAGTCTGACCAGCGAATCCGCTTGAACCATAACCTTACCCCACCCCTGCACGTAACCCTAACCCTAGCCCTAACCCTAACCATATCCCACTTCGAGATGTTCCTGTGGAATTCCGCTGGTCGGTCTTCTTGGATAGTGTTTTTGTTTTATACTGACAGATTAGTCAACTCCCCCTTTTGATATGTCTAAATTCTAATTTGTATATCTAAATTCGATGTTGTAACTTTTCTTAGGTCTAGGTGTTATTTTAGATTACAATTAGGTGTAATGATAGTCTAGGAATTAAAACAGTAATAGTATAATCTACCACAATTTGTTCACTGATAAAGTTTCTGTCGTTTCAAGGAGAGTAATTGAATACCCTAGTTTGTGTCAAAATTTTAAAATTGTTTGTAAGAATGTAAGAGCTCAGCTTCTCGATCACCCTTAGCATTATAAATGGACAGAGAAAAATGTTTTGCGTAGTTTCGTGAACCATATAATATGTGAATATCTACATTATGTCTTGAAAATATCTTAATCAGTGTTCTCATTTGTTGTAAAAAATCAAAAATTAAAATATTTCTCAGACACAAACGCTTCACATCTCCTACTTCCAAAGTAACTGCTACGGGCTACCGATCATTTGTGTAAATGTATAACGGTTACAATTTATCATCCCATAATCCGATAATCATCCCAGTCCATCGTAACTGGATGATGAAATTGACCCTGACAACATCCCTTCCTTTGATTCTGACACTGACATCTACAGTACTCACTACTGCTACACACTGTAGAACTAGTTGTAGTCCCTGTCCTACACTCATCCACACTCTTAGTCTTACTTCTAGACCGATTTGGTTTAGAGGGAGCAAGATTACTCATGACGTCACCAATGTTTGTGACGTCATAGCATGACGTGACAGACCTACTGAGGCTGGTAAGGGAAGATGTGCTGCTGGAATGGAGTGTATTTTCGCGCGGTCCTCCCTTGGTTATGGTGCAGGATTCTGAGCCAGACTCGTGGTCTGATCCTGAGGTTGAGTTGTGGCTGAATTTACGTCTCCTTTTCAAACCAAACTTTTTCACAAAGTTCTTAATCGTCTTTCCAATCGTCTGCTTCTTGTCTGGCTTATCTTCATCGTCGCCCGACGAATCACGGACCTTATCGTAGATATTTGAGGGTTTCTTCTGTCGCTTTGTAAAGAATGACGGTGCCCTAACTCTCGCTTTTGGTTTGGTTGAATGAACACTAAAATCAAGGCAGATTGATCTAGGGTTAGATTTAGGTCCCTGGTATATAGGCTCAGGAGAAACTGTTTTGATCTGATCAAGGTTGGAAACAGTTCTCATTATTTCATATTCACTCTCGAACACTACTCCTGGGTATCTCTCCTTGACCACCTGATCGTGATGACACACATCCCGGTCTCTTAACATGGTGTATGATTCCAGGATATTGTTGTTGTTAATGGTAATCTTAACCTGCTCTACCTCCAGCGATTCCCCAAGAGTTGTGACGTCATCACCCTGTGTGATGACGTCATTACTCGAATTATCACTGTTCTTTAGCTTGTCTGTTCTTGACGCTGCGGGAGTTATAATATGATCGATAATGAGTTTAATAGATTGATTTGAGATGTTTAAACATATGGTTGGCAGTTGGATTATCTAAGTGACCCACATGCTTGAGTGTGTGATCATTGTTTGAACTTTAAAACTGCTCCGATTGATATATTATGTGGCACTACAATTTTATAATTTACTTGAAGTGCTCCACGATCACAGCTTTAAAATAAAAGGGAGGGTAGCTCCCACGATAACAAATAATGGATATAACTGCCATTTAATGAGTGTGCTAAATCACTCTGCACAGTTGCACACGAATGTCATGTCGAGATTATTCTAAAACTCTAAAGCCGAAATCAACTTGAATATCGATGTATTTTTGGACGCAAATTTTGAATCATTCTAAACTTCCTATTATTATAATAAGGTTAAAATGGCAAAATGCTCCCCTGTCGAGTTATCGGCGAAAAACTGTTTCGATCACGTGACAAGATGAAGACTGTCGGGGCCGTCTAAAGAACGTGTTTAAATAAGTCACGTGATAGTCACGTGTAGTATAAAGTGATTACTATCATCATCCTTCATTTAATCGGTGAGATCTGTCGAGATCTAAATTTACAACATGAACTTGAAGTAGATATGTAGCGAGGTGATCAAAAGTGAAAGGTGAAAGTCTTGTCAAAAATGCAAAAATTAAATACCTCCTTGCAGTTGCACTTGCAAAGTTAAGATTAAATACTTTAAATTTAATCAAAAATCAAAACCAACTTTGCGCTTCGAGGGAATAGCACCTCGTGAGATTTTTTAATTTGTAGGTAAATTCCCACCAAGTTTTTGACATGAACTAATCATTTCCGTACATAAAGTTAAATACTTAACGTGCTAGAGCTCTCGAGAGATTGATTGCTTTTTGACTACGACTACGAGGACACTCTTTACGTTTAGTTTAAACGGGAATTAATTTTTAGACGAAAGAAATCAACTTTTCCCTAACACAAACAGTAAGTGTAACTATTGAAAGGAGTTTAAAGGCATTTCTTTTCCAACTTCGACAGAGACTGACTTTATTAAGCTTCGTAAAGAAATAATGTAAACTTACCCATGAGATTGAGATCACTTTGGCACTCCTCTTCATTTTCTGAGGTTGCAATACAATCACATTCATATCCCGCCATGCATTGGTGGACACATTTTTCCTCTGCCTCTAACCCATCAAAACCATTCTTCAGCGTTATCTGTCTACACACAGATAGGCTTATCTCCTCTGAATGTTCATGTAAATATTCCGGTATGGCATGACGTAGATTATTATGAAAATGCAAAAGCAAATCATCTTCAGGACAGTCATCATCAGAAATATAATCGAACGCCTGTGTAGGGTCGATATCAGTACATTTGTTATCTTCCACTATCTCTGAATCCGAGTTACACTCGCATAGTTGTAGACCAGTTATTCGCTGCTTTGGTTCCAGGAAGAAGTCGATCGGGTAATCTTGATCAGATTCGTTGTCAACTGGTTTAAAGTGATGCAAGGATGGTAAGTCAGTCTTTTCCGGGACCTCTTTTTTGGGAATTGGATTGCTGCAAAATGTTGATAATCTCTGCTGAGCCATCACATCACAAGAAGTTCTCACAGCATCGCGATCTGTATCTGGTAATGTTACAATGGGGTGAGTTGAATGTGATGGTGAAATAACCCCAAATGATGGTGTGATAACATCTAAAGAAGCTATCGGATCCTTATATGCTTGAACAGTTGTAGTTTTAGGGCCCAGCGAAGATGTTGTCCACGCTATGGGCTGAGCGCCGCAACCTATGACTGAGTGATGATGTCTCATCATGTCATCGTATCTCAATCTGATTTCATCCTCCTGGCTGGCTACCCTTTTCCTGTCCACAGCTGTGTTGTTGTGACGTTTTGAGTTGATAACTTCACACGATTCACTTATCAAGACTCTCTTCTTGAGCGTGTCCTTGGTGTTGAACCTCAAGGTGTCTGCTGAGTGGGCGGGACCGGATAATTTATTGAGAGCCTTTACAAATGAGTCAGTGTTGGAATTTTCTGTAGTGTTATCGGTTGATGTGATTGAAGAACTGTTTGAAGTCTCATCTATCTCGTCTAGGACTGGAGCTCGAATATTCAGGATTGGATAATTTGGTTTGTTATTTACAGGGTCCGCCGACAGAGCGAAAGTAACTTCATCCCTTTGGTGCAAACCTACCGCAAATCCAGTTCTGCTAAAGTCTGCTTCACTCGACCTCTCACCAATACACGAGCAGTTAAATCCGGCCTGATCACAAGAACAAATTAAACATCCGCCTGAAGTACCAGGAAGTGTTGCTTTGTTGTCTTCCCACTCTGAAGGGTCTCCAGGTTCAGTCACTTCATTTTCTTTGCTTGATGGTGAGCGCCTTCCTTTGTCCGAAGAAGAACTTTTTTCGTGTTTTCTAAACGGTTTGTTGATCACAAGAACAGGAGACTTAGCTTTAAGTTTCTCAGCTGATGGTAACCTCAGTCTTGTTCTTGAGCTCGGTCGTTTCGGTTGCATTTCACACACATGACAACAGTTTCCTTGTGGCATCGTAGCACAATGAATACATAGCTCACCAGTAAAGCTAACAGGTTTGTTGACCTGATTTTTGTCTAATGATAAGATTGGTGCTCTGGGTCTGAGATATTGGGTGTTAATATTAACATCTGGGGTTTTGGGTCTAAGTGGTTTAGCATTGTAATCCAATTCGATACAAATGTTTGGATTGTATGGTATTTCTTCCTGGCACCTAGTAGCAGGTAAATTAGGTTCAGACAAACCACCACGTGGCTCACTCCACCTCTTTTGTCCTGAAGTAGCCCTGATTAAGGATGGTGTTTGCTTGTGTCTGTTGTTGCCCTGGTAACGGTGTCTGTTGCACGGTAATGAGCGTGAGGGTGATGTCATGATTGTGGTGCACAGAGGAACGGTATAAGCTGGCTGTTCCCGGTGAAGCTCTGCTGTATTCCTGAAAAAGGGACAGGTGGTTGGGTCGCACACGCTCACTGCTGGGTTGCACACACTTATTTTAGGCTGTGTATCTTTTTCCAAACTGGGAGTTGTTAGCGAATCTAATGACTCAGCGGGATCAACCGGACCAAACGACCTGGACATTCGTGGATCAACAGGAGGATCTGTTTTGTCTTGGCTAGGATATTTATTGAATAGCCTTCCGACTGAATCCTGGGTATTTATTTTACAGCCGAACATAAGTGTCGAATCCGGAAAAGGCGATAGTGGGCGGCAAGGTCGTGGTTCTTTATTAATTGGTTTAATCAGACATGAGGATGATTCCTGGGGCGTGGGACATGACAATTTTGTTATATCGGATGATGGTATTGTATGTAGTTGACCTGGCAATTCCTGTTGACTTGGAAATGCCTGTTGACTTGGACATGGTCGTTGATCTGGATACTGCGCTGGCAATGGTTGAGGCCCTGACGATGGCTGTTGACCTGGCAATTGTTGTTGAACTGGTTGTTGTCCTGGAAATGGATGGTGCCCTGGTTGTTGGCCTGGCAATGGTTGTTGGCCTGGATACTGCGCTGACAATGGTTGTTGCCCTGGTTGTTGATCTGGAAATGGCTGTTGCCCTGGATGTTGACTTGTACATGGCTGTTGCCCTGGTTGTTCACCTGACAATGGTTGATAATCTGGCCGTGGTTGTTGCTGTGGTTGTTGCCTTGGACATGGTTGTTGGCCTGGATTCTGCGCTGACAATGGTTGTTGCCCTGGTTGCTGTCCTGGCAATGGATGTTGCCCTGATTGTTGACCTGGCAATGGATGTTGCCCTGGTTGTTGACCTGGCAATGGATGTTGCCCTGGTTGTTGTCCTGGCACTGGATGTTGCCCTGTTTGTTGTCCTGGCAATGGATGTTGCCCTGGTTGTTGTCCTGGCAAAGGATGTTGCCCTGGTTGTTGTCCTGGCAATGGATGT